CGATTTATGTTGCATGTGATTTATGTTTAATTCGAATTGTGTCAAATGAGATTTACGTTGAATGTGATTTATGATTTTTAAGATTTATGTCAACCAGGATTTAGGGAATATTCATGTGTCTCAACAAAAAAAAACAGAAATGTGAACATGAATGTGAATCAAGTGCGAAGGGAAGATTTTGATGCCACTGTGAATATATTAAACGGTTTTGAACACTCTGCAAGAAACCTCAAGAAGCATTGGCTGAGTAGTCCCTTGAACTTGAGTGGAAACAAGGAATGGGAATTCAACCCTCGACAGTACAGTATATAGAATTTGAGAAGGGATGCAAGTCGGTGTTTGCGTTTACGCGTTGTGCCGTTAACACTGACAGCCGAAATACCTAAGTGCAATCGCGACCATTGAATATATATATATATATACACTCACACGGCCGAAAGCCATCTAGATTCTCTCTCCCTCTCTCTCTCTCTCTATCTCTAAAGCGAGAGACGCGCCATTTGAATACGAAATTCAAATACGCTGACGAGCCGTAAGTACATACATACGTCTCCGTCTGTTTGAACTGGTCCCTCTGTATGGTAATTGTTGAACTATATATACATACGCATCGCATACTCTATGTCAGGAGATATATGTAAGCGTCGGAAACTTTGCAAGATGATGAAAAACACAACCTCACATGAAATCTCTTTCTCGTTCACGTTCATCACGTATACTTACCAATCACTGTTCAAGAGACATCAGAAACGAATATTTATCCTTATACCAATGATATAAGGGAGTTAGGGGGGGGAGAGATAGCGAATTTCTCATGGAAACGAAGAGAGAGAGAGAGAGAACTCACACGCGGAAAATACTGTATCGCATTATTTATTTTTCTTTTCTTTTTTTTATTTCCGATTATCTGATTCGCCGCTTTTGCTTTATGTATTTTGCAACGCTGATTCACTGATCGTGCATGATCTAGGAGGGTATAATGTTTACCCATGGTATTCTGTAAACTGCTATATAGAGCCCAGGCCTTATACTTTATCCACTTGACTTTGAGAAATTCTCAAGTCAATACAAGGATATCATACAAGGAAATGGCGCAAGGAAGAAAGATAAATAAATAAATAAATTCGAAAACCGAATTAGGACAAGAACCGAATTCGGAAAAAAGCAAATTCTGCCGAATACCGAATTCGGACAAAAAGAAAATTTGGTCGAAAACCGAAATAGGACAAAAGCAAATTAGTCCAAAACCGAATTAGGACAAAAACCAAATTTGGAAAAAAAGGAAAGTTGAACAATAACCGAATTTGGAAAAAAGAAAATTCGGCCTTATACTGAATTTGGAAAAAAAGCAAATTCTGCCGAATACCGAATTCGGACAAAAAGCAAATTTGGTCGAAAACCGAAATAGGACAAAAGCAAAGTCGGACAGAAATCGAATTTGGAAAAAAGCAAATTCGGTCTTATACCAAATTCGGAAAAAAGCAAATTCGGCCTTATACCAAATTCGGAAAAAAGCAAATTCTGCCGAATACCGAATTCGGAAAAAAAGCAAATTCAGATAAAAGTAAATACGGCCGAGAACCGAATTAGGACAAAAGCAAAGACGGACAAAAATCGAATTTGGAAAAAAGTAAAGTCGGACAAAAACCGAATTTGGAAAAAGAAAATTTGTCCGAATACCGAATTCGGACAAAAGGCAAGATAAAAGAAAATTCGACTTAATACCGAATTCGGACAAAAATAAATGCGTTTTCTGCCAAGGCAAATTTGTGTCCAAAGTTGATTGAAAAGTAAAATTGTATTTTCTATAAAAAGCTAATTTACTGTGCAATAGAGAAATTAATTTTACTTTGTAACCCACTTTTAAAATATTATTATAATATAAGTAGGGAATATATTCTGTCTGTAGAAATCCTGTGCAAGTATATTTATTATTATTATTATTTAATTTCTATTCGTAATAAATTTCAATAAAATTATCTGTGAGTACTCTCTCTCTCTCTTTCTCTCTTGGCACTCTCGGAAAATATAAATTTGAATCTCTGACCACTTTTGCAAGTTCAAAGTAAACTTGACTCTTATACGAATTCTGAAATCACGTCCCACAATGTTATACCTGTTGGTTCATATATATGTATGTATATATATATATATATATATATATATATATATATATATATATAGTCATGGGGGAAACGTTACAAGTCCGAGTGTCAGGAAGTCGACACACCACTTGTCGGAAGTGAATATCAGACCTCTAGACAGTACAGAGAGTGAGAGTGTGAATATGTGAGTGAGTGAGAAAAACAGAAAGACAGAGAGAAAGAGAGTCTCTGAAAAGTTAAAACTTTATGCATCAAAATAATGTAAACTTTAGAATATCAAAGATAAACTGTGACATGTCAAAAAATTCATTTTGAGTTTATGAGAAGTTATGCAGAGAGGGTCGTTTCAATTTTCTCTCTCTCTTTCACTCTTTCACTCTTTTGGAGGTCGAGGGTTGAGTGACTATATATATATATACACGTTAAGTGTGTATACGTGTGTGCGTAAATTAGGTAGGATATAGAAACTGGCTCTGAATATAAAGCAAGGGGGATGGAAATGGTCAAAATGGTTTATAAAGTGCGTGGGTTGGATCTGGGTAAACGGAGTTTGGGTACATGAGATGGAGTTTGCATTAATCAGGCATCAGAGTGGTTTTATGAGTAACGGAAGGTACAGACAGACAGACAGACGTATAGTATGTATATATGTACTGACAAACCTTTGCAGTATGGATTTTCTGCATGTATTTTCGAAATGCCAAATAGAAATTTAGAAAATTTGAATTAAGAATTAGAGAAAAGTTTAAAAAATTTGATTTAACAAAAAAATTTAATTTTTATTTAAAAAAAACATTGATTGAACATTTTTTTCTATATATAAAAATATTTGGAAAAAAAAATGGAAATTCGAAATTAAAATAAAGAATTGTGTATGATTGAAAATATATGTCATTTTGAGGGGAAAAATTTTTTTGACAATGAAAATCGTGGCAATTATTCGAGGCGACGAATAAACGTCATCAATTTTAAATTCAAACGAAAGCATTTTGCGCAGATTGGCTGTCAGCAAGAGTTGCATATATATATATATATATATATATATACATACAGCATTCGTATATATTGTAAAATCATTCAGCAAGTGCACGTACACTGTGTGAGGGATGCGCGATCGAACGCGCATTTAAATACGAATGCAAAAACAGTAGCGATGAAAGTAGAAAAGTGGGTGAACGAGAGGGAGTATTCTCGTAAAATTAGCGTATTTCTCGCGTTGTCTATGTACGGTAACGATCGAAGCAATCGCTATTCCATGAATACCAAAAAATTTGCGATAGAGGTCGTTTTTTTTTTCCAAAAAACCCTTATAAATCCTTCCTATTTTCGTCTCGGTGCGAATTTTATTCTCGATCTAACTCAAAAATAAATCGTAAAAAAGAATGAAAAGAACAATTTTCACATAGTAAATTTACATCAATTTGTTTACGAATGTAAGTGGTCAGTATTTTTCCCAATTTTTCGTTATGGAAGAAAATTTTGCAAAAATATTGCAAAAATTTCTGCAACGGAATAAAAAAATTTATTTATAAATTTCAATAGAAATTTGTTTTGTTTTCCCACTTGGAAAGATTCCCCGGAAAGTGCCCCCCTGGAGGTTCTATCAGAATTCCGCCGGAACTTCCAACGTAATTCCGTCGGAATTCCAATGAATTTCTGATGGGATTCCGACGGAATTACGACTCTAAACATTTTGAAAAAAATTAATCGGAAATTCTTTGGAACTCCGATGGAATTCCGACGGAATTACGTTGGAAGTTCCGGCGGAATTCTGATAGAACCTTCAGGTGGCACTTTTCGGGGAATATTTCCAAGTGGGATTTGTACTTTATTATCATTTAATTTAAAGAAAAAAATACCGGATTGTATTTTGAATATAATGGAGAAAATTATTTTTCTCAGGTGTATGCAATTTTAGCGCAGTGAGAAAATGTTGAGAGATGTTGAGAAAAAGAAAGAGAGAGAGAGAGGGAGCTTTTATTGAAAAACGAGGGGCATTCGTCCAGTGGAATTTTCACAGCTTGACAACGGTCCTCGTGAAGTAAATCAGAGACGCGCGATTGTCGAGTGCAAACGAAGATTTCTTAATCTCCGACTACAAGAAAGAGAGTTACGTATAACCGTGCTGCTTAATTCCGGTCCGGGCATTTGTCATTTGAAAGACTAAGAGGATTACTGCAAGTTTTACTTCTCTCGTGCGCTAACGAAATTATATCAAAGATATTATCAATCTTGGAAAAACTTTTCGTTAAGATGCATATCGTTAGTATTTCTGTTCAAAAAATTTTTGCGTATTACAAGGTGATCAATTAATTTCGTTTAATTGGAAAAAAAATGTATATACTTTTCTGCATTGTGTGCAGAAAAGTTGAAAAAAACAGTGCAGAAAATTATACTTTTCTGCACAGAGTGTAGCAAAATTGGAAAAAAATGTATACTTTTCTGCATAGCGTGCAGAAAAGTTAAAAAAAACAGTGCAGAAAATTATACTTTTCTGCACAGAGTGTAGCAAAATTGGAAAAAAATGTATACTTTCCTGCATAGTGTGCAGAAAAGTTAAAAAAAACAGTGCAGAAAATTATACTTTTCTGCACAGAGTGTAGCAAAATTATAATGAAAGTGCCAAAAAAATAATTATAAGTATTTTTTTTAGAAATTGATAAAATTAATAATATTTTAAAAATAAATTTAAGGTTATTCTGCAAAGAGTGCAGAAAAGTGTACTTTTCTGCACTCAGTGCAGCAAAGTATTGATTCAATTGCAAAAAAGTGTTTCTTGTTTCAAAATGCAGAAACCAATATGATCTTTTCCACCAGTAAAAATGTCATTTTAGTTACTTTTTACCTTTTAAAAAATATATTTGCTAACATAAAATGTGAAAATATCTTTTTCAGATGGAGAGGATGAAATATACTTCACAGACGACACCGTTAAGGGTAAGTTTTTATATAACATTTATATATTGTTTTTTACCAAAGAAATGTGGATGAAAATTGTTTTGTGCTTTTTTGACTAAACAGCATTTAAAAAAAACCCACAAAAATTTTTCTTGGAAAATTTTTAATGTAGAAAAGAAAATTTTTTTTCAGATATTATTTTTTGAAGACGCAATTTTTATGATGGCTTTTAAAAAATAAATTTCGGTAGTTTTTTTGTTGAATAATTAAGAGTATTTTTCTCAGCATACTTTTCTGATGTAAATGCATTGAGATTTTGGAGCAGATTTTAAATTTTGTATATTTTTTCATGTCAATTCATTTGAATATGCGCTTTTAATATATATATATATATATAAATTGTAAAATAAAATACATGAAACTGCAGTTATGTCCTTGGTGTGTGTATATATAGAGAGCTTGAAAGCACTTGAAAAGGCACACTGACATCACTCTTTGAAGTAATGTACCATGGGTGTAGAAAGGTGGAATTTCCGGAATGTCTCACGGTCATTAAATCAGATTTCCGAGGACGAAAACACCGATCCTTTTTCTCCTTATTCGACATTCTACTAAATCCCAATGTCCACCGAGAAGTGAAATTCGTTTCTCGAAAGCGACTTACGTTCTTTTCGATGTTCAACTAAACTCTTTTCGCGTCGTCGTTGAAACTTTTTTTTTTTTTTTTGTTTATTTTTCCTTTTTTTGAAATCTCATTTACCGCACGATGAGCGCGTTCGGAATTAGTCCACGGGCGCCTCGTCAGTCACGTCGCATCTTTCTGGCATCGAACACAAGAGAGAGAAAGAGAGAGAGAGAAAAGAACCGCGCTCACTTCCAAGAATCACACAAGCAATAAAGTGCCCGCCAATATATGTGCCCGGGTAAATGACTTTACACACGTATGATTCGAAATTTTTGCTTACAACAAGGCTTTGATATCAAAAGATACTTCTTCTTTTGTTTATCCAAAGAACCAATAATCCATAAAGGGGGTGATGAAACCAAACTAACCGTGACGCACCTGTTTTATTTGTTTGCCTTCTCTTGAATGCGTTGGCGAAAAAATAAAATGCTATTCTTTAGAGGAGTTTTTTTCCTCTTCTTAAAACGATGCTGATTAAAAAAAGCCATAAAAAAAAAGTTTCATCAGTTTAATCCAATCCAAAATTTGTTTCCAATCAGTTTTTCTCCCCATGTAGTAAATAATTTACCTACTATTTAAAATTTTTTATAAAAATATGTAATGGTTTTCATGGAAACGGTTGCTATGGTAACCGTTACTATGGTAACTGTTACTATGGTAACCGTTACTATGGTAACCGTTACTATGGTAACCGTTACTATGGTAACCGTTACTATGGCAACCATAAGAAAGTACGACGGACGGACGGACGGACACCAAAGCGAAATTATAATGCTTTCGGGCTTAATCAACGAAACTCTAAAAATTTGTAAAAAAAAATTAAAAAAAAAAATTAATAGCTTTTAAAATAATATTTTCCCGGTTTCAATTCTCCTTAGTGTATTATGGAAAAATATCTTTCTCTCTCTAAAAAAAAATAGTTAGGGAAGTCTTTTGGTTTATATAGCCACTTCCCGGTGTAAATTAGAGGAGGGAGTAAAAAAAAAGAGTTAGTTTTGAAGTATGGTTTCGTTCAATATGCACTGTGTAATATCGCATGTACTCGTGTGACCTTTGCTGTTTCTCGATAATAAAAATGCAGACTTACTGACCACTCTTTGCACGCATTTACATTATACTGGCAAATATATGAGTCACATGGTATTTTTGTTCCTCTCTTATAATACATATATATATACACACATATTATGTAAGATCGATTTTACAATCGTTGTGCATAAAAAAAACACTTGCAAAGGAAATTCCGTAAATTCCCTTTTTTTCCTGATAAGAAATTCGCTAATTGATTCCCGGTTTTTGTTATCTATAACATATTAAAACACAGTTAAAAATTACACTTAAAAAAAAAATAATAAATAAATTAATTTACAAGTTTAATAATTAAAAAAATTATTTTTTATTTGTTAAATGCCTCCAAAGAAATATTAATGTGAAAATATTATTAAAATTTACAATATGGTTTTTTTTTTGGAAAAAAAAATTAAAGAAACAAAATTATATGCCACTTTTGAAAAAGAGATTGCTAAATTATATCACAAAATTAACCTCCCCAAAAATTGTATAGAATTGTGGTATGATTATGTTTTGCGGGGCTTGCATGAGATTGCATGAACACACCAGATTGAACGAGTAATTAACCCCTCGTAATAATCTTAATTCATTTTTCTTGGTAATTCATACTCGACACACAAAATCGAAAAGGTAATGCAATTTTGCAAGCGGAAGTCAAAAATTAATTGTCCATTTACCTCCTATATATATATATATATATATATATATATATATATAAATTTTAATAAAATAAAAGCTTTTTGAAATTATTACATTAGAGTTATAAATTAATTTTACTTTAATTTTACATTTCATAATAAATGTATTTTTAATTTAATATTCTATATTATTTCAATTATAATTATTATCTTATTATAAATGTATATTAGAAATAAAAAATTTTGTTTTATACAAAAATAATATTTGTGTTTAGTATAGTAGAAAGTAAAAAATCGCTAGTCGGAAGCCTCGCTGATTACGAATTTAGCATCAGATTTACGAAATTCAAAATGGCGGCTTCAAAATGGCGAACCTTTTTTAAATTTGATTAAATTCTTTTGAAAATTATTACTCGAGGGTTTTTGGTATCGCTGATTACGAATTTGGCATCAGATTTTCGAATTTTGTTTTCAATAATCAAAAAAATTATTCAAAGCAAGGTTTTGCTGGAATTAATCAAAATTCGTTAAAAAACAATTTCTTATCTTCAGGCAAAAAATCAGAAATAGAAAAAAGAAAATTATTCTCTTTTTTTTGCTCCTAACTCGTAATGTATTTACATTAAGTTTCGATATAGAAGTTGTAATTATTCCGTACTGTGCATACTTTACGTTTTCTAGCGTTTGTGTTATCGCTAATGGAAACTGATGTATTTATTGCAAAAGCGACGCACACGTTTTCTATCGTGGTGTACCCATAGCGATATATTTTACGTACTCCAGATACTTTTTCTCGTAACGCGCGCTCGTGAGTAAACTTTTATCTTGCAGTGATATATGGGGCAACTTTGCTTTTCACCTGGTACTGTGTTGGCCAACTGAAAAGAAAACACTTTTTTTTTCTTTTCTTTTTTTTTTGAACGAATAATCGAGCGTTATGTCTCCATTTGGAACAAACCCTTTTTCCAACTCGTTGTCGTATAGTCGCGAGAGTGTCGTCGCCATCGTTGAAAGTTAATCCACTTCTCCAAAAGTAACTTCTCGGTAAACAACACTCACAAACAGTGAATTATCTTTCGTTTAATTTATTTCAATTAGAAATCCTTTTTTTTTAATTGAAAAAAAAGAATTTTTTGTTGTATAGAATTTTTATTTTTTAATATTTTAATTAAGGTAATTAAAAATTAAAATATACTAAAAACCCTTATTTTGTGAATTATTCAAGATTTTTGAATTTTTACCTTAATAACGCAATTATAAAATCAAATGCATTCAAAATTGTCAATGGAAGTGAAACGTGTTTTTTTTATAGAAAGCGATAGATGGCACTACTGTCGAAAGCGATGCAAAAGAGTTGTAATTCTCTTCGTGTTTACCTGGTTTTTTTTATGCAAGTGACGAATTCAAGTTAATTAGCATCTAATTAGCGTATTATAAAATAAAATTTTCTAGTTCTTATTAAAATTTTTATCTCTTAACGCCCTGTTTAATTCGAAATCATTAAATACACATTAGTTGTTATATTAACATTGTTAATATTGAGATTTCTTATCAACATTTTCATCAAATAGAACTTATTATTATTATTATTATTATTATTATTATTATTATTATCCTTATTATTATATTATTAATATTATTATTATTATTATATTATTAATATTATTATTCATATTATTATTACAGTAAAAGTTGTTTGTTGAAAAACAGTTGAAATATTTTCTGTAATTTTGATACCGACTAAATTTCTTTTTTTTTTTTTTTGAGGGGTATTTTAAAAAATATTTTGTAAGAAATTTGATTTTTTGTTATTTAAGTGATCTAATTTCTAAAGAGTTAAAGAGATACAAAAACTCGAAACCATTTTTCTAAAAATGTATCTATATTACAAATTTCAAGAATACCTTTAAGAAAACAGAGGTTTGAAAAGAGAATACAAGAGAGGGAAAATTACGGAACAAGATAGGGAAACCTCCTTTAAGAAAATGCAACAAAGATCAAGTTCGGAGGGTTTGACCCTTCAACGCAGTCAACTCCTGCCTATAGGTGTCCAATTACAAGAAAGATATATATATATATATATTTCGTTTCGATTACAGTTTGAAATTTTTTTTCCAAATATCTGTTTTTTCAGGTTTATAATACACTTTTATTTATTCAAGAACATGATTATTTTTTTCGAAAAGAAAAAATATTACTAAAAATAGTTAATATTTTACTAAAAATTAGTGAAAATTTCGACTTATTTGAATTAGTGAACAAAATGCCACTAATTCAATAGAGAGTAAAATTATTACCACAATATAAAAATTGTTACAAAAAAAATGTTGTGTCAAAATTTAAAATAATACATTTTCAAATTTTTTATATGCACTCAGAAAAAAAGTTATTTTTGAACCAAATGTGCCATTTTTTTATATTTACCCAATTTTTTGGTTAGTTCAAATAAAATTTGTTTAATTCAAATAAATATTTATTTGATCTAAATAACTGTTTGGTTTATTTTAATAAATTTTTTAAGCAAAGAAAAAATTTAATTGAGCTAAATAAACGTTTGGTTTATGCAACTAAATGTTTGGTTAACTGTATATCAATATATTTATTTTGTTGATTTAACCAAAATTTGGTTGCTTCAAACGAATTTT